CTCAATTACTACTTTCTACTGTCATACTATTCATCAAAATTACAGAATACACACTTCTGATCTTTAAGTACGATACTCAATGTATTTCTGTCTTTCTGTGACTAATCAAGTCCACCTTTTTCCATTGTGCTCTCTACCACTATACATAAATATAACCCCCTTGTCCAAATTCTCTTCCTTCTCTTCTTCCTAAAATGTCCTATAAAATTCTGTTATTTAAGGATTCTTTAAGCTTTCCTACTCCAAGTCAAAGCCCTTTTAGACTAACCCAGATGAAAGTAATTTCTCCTATCATTTATTTAGCACCTAGTTTGTGTCCCCCACAAAGCCCTTATTAGATAGTGTTATTTATTGCTCTGATATTTGAGGACTGAGATTCACATGCCCTGTCCTCCTCTCCTTTCTTATATTATATTGTAAGTTTCTCAAGGTCAGAGTTAAATTTTCCTAACTGAAACTCTATTGCATAGGACATAGTTGTATATAATGTTGACACTTGAATTAAAAATGAGTGAGATGACCATAGACCATAAACAAATCTGTCCTGAACACCCGAGCACTCGAAATTTTACCCTCTAGACTCCAGAGTGGATAAGAAGTCAAGTAAAGGTGACTTTGTACCATGCAAATTCCCCATTCTTCACATTAAATTCTTTTATCTCTAAGATAATGCAAACTTTGGCTTCATTCCCAATCAAAGAACAAAGTAGTTTCCTTTAAATGTTCCCTCCAGTTCTCAGGAGTCAGCAGTTTGGGATGTGCTTAAGTGGATGGGGGAGGTGGATGAAAAAGGACTGTCACAGAGTTAAGTCCACACAAAGCTCAACTCACTTATAAAAAGAAGCACTAACGAACCCTATGCTGGTAAAAACTTTTTTATTGTAAAAATGCTTTAATGTAACAAGACATCTACTTTTAGAGCAATTTCCACATTATATCAGCTAAATAAAATTTTAAGATGGAATATGCCATGCTAGATTAAACATACTTATGATGTGTGCTGTCAACAATCACAGTTCTCTAGTTATGCACTTCAGTAAGGCAACACACTGAACACTGCTGAGGCAGACGAGGCTGAATCTAAAATTATATAGTGTTTCTAATAAATTAGAACTCTTCCGTTATTTGCTATTCTATCACTGGAGCTACACTGTGAACGGTTAATTCCTTTCGAAATAAATTCTGTAAAACAATATGCTTTTGGAGAAAAAAGCTGCCGGGTGTATTAAAAGAAATGAAATCAGTACTGTGTTAAGAAATAAGCATATCCCAGAAATAAAAATCTTTTAAAAATGACTTTATGTTAACTTGTAGAAGTGTGTGGGGGTAGGAGTGGAGGCCAGGAGAAGGCATCCATCACACTGGGGTTAGAGGTGGTTGCGCTGCAGTGGCTGCTGGAAGGCAAACTCACGCTCTTAGGCACTGAACCATCTCTCCAGCTCCATCATGAACTTTTCAAACATGGTGGTAATAAGAGATATCACCAATGATATAGGCCAGTGATAAAAATTCATTTTAAGGCCTATCACACCTAAAAACATAAGTAGTAATGTAATGTAGTGGGTGGTTTTTATCTATTTATCTGAGTTAATTACTAAACTAATAATATTTATTCAAAAAGTAACAGATTTGGAAAAAAAATTCTGGAGTTGCTTATAAATTGCCTCTGGTTTTTAGATAAAAACTGGAAAAGACAAGAGGCACTGGAAAACATTAACGAACTAAAGATGAGATAGTATAAGAAACACATGGGTATGAGATATATGCAGAGAAAGAAAAGAACTGTGAAGAAATTTGTCAAAAATGAAATGATTGGAAATTCTTTAGATGTCATTAAACTGTATCAAAGCCTGAAAAAAAAAGAGATATCACACAAGCTACCCCCTTTACAGTGCACAGCTATGACCTCACAGGAGCACAGTTAGAGTTTTAGTTACCCATATTCAGCATGCTGATGGCCACACTGACAATGGTATTTACTTAAGCAAACAGAGGAAAAAAAAAAACTTTTGAAAAGTAAGAGTAAGGTTGGCTTATTGTGTAGATGAGCAAAATAAAAAGGACAGGAAATGGAACTATTTCAATAGGCAAGGAAAGCTGATATCTGTTAGCACTTCTCTCATATAATTGAGTAACTGACAAGAGCATCTGTTAAAGTGTGTTAAGAACAAAATGTTCTTAGAAAACAATGGGGAATAAACAGCAAGATAAATGTTAGGCAGGTGCTTTTATTTAGATCAAATGCAGAATCCTTACTAAGTTATAGCTATTGCTCAAATAATTATCTACTTCAGAGAAGAAATATTACTGGCATAGTTTGTAATTCCACCATTCTGGCCGCAGTGACACTTTATGTACAGTGGATTATCAACCAAAAACCCGAACGATTAGAAAATTAATTGGGGAAAATGTATGTCTGTTTGTCTATCAATTAAAACATCATTTACTTGTTGTTAAATATGAACTTTATAACAAAGCCAATCAAAACTACTATCATCAGATATGGAAAAGATGATTTGAATAAAAGCGATCTGTAGCATATGTAGGATGAAATATTTTGGGATTTCTTGAGGAAAAGGTTTCACATTGGCAATTAAACATTGCTTTTCTGATTTGGCTACTCAATAGTAATAAAAAAAAAACTTTATAAGTTAGGCCTGTTCCCTGTGATACCTTTTCCTTTTTAGAGGCCAAATGACTTAGATACTGTGTTTCCCTATTTCATTATACTGTGATAAAAACCATCATTTAACCAATCACATGAAAAATTAAAAGTGACATTTGAAGAGGCTGATTTTCAATGAATAAAAACTCATCTAAATTATCATGTAGTTTACATTTGTTTAGAACAAAATATATTGATCAACATCAAGGGAAATCAAGGGAAAACAAAAACAAATCCCTCTGTTGCTTGCCATTAATGCAATTACAGCTGTAATGCTTCTTAACCCTTCAGTTGTAAAAACTACACAAAGGAGTCAAGCTTAAACATCTTACAAAGCTTTTTTTTTTTTGGTTTTCGTTTTTCCTGTTGCACTCCTAATCCTCCATACTGCTTCATCTTGCTCTAAAAATGGGGGGGCTGACTGAGACATCACACATCTTCCTTATTTCTTCCCTGTCTTCAGCCCAGATTTTACATTTCTGATGGGGAGGCTCTGACTCCAGTGCCTAGACTAGTACCTGGTATCCAGTAAACATACGAAGTGGGTAAACAAATTGACTCTTACGCTGGCTTGCCAGATACATGACGTGTATGCCCTCTTGCGGTACACACATACCACCCCTTAAAATGTGTTAAGCTCTTTTTCCCTGAGGACAGTAGGCTAAATGACCAAGTGACTCTATAAAGTTGTGCTGCCAGGTGAAGCCTTAACTTTTCCACCCTTCAACACTCAGAGGGCACAAAAGCAGCTGTGATTTGCAATAAGCAAATTCTCATGAAGTATCTGACAAAGCCAGTGACTCATAAGTGTACAGTATACTTTAGCTGTCCTTGTTCTTGCCAATAGCATTTTATTTTCTGTTGTAAATGGCTTGTCCATCCCTCCATTATCTTGTAACTATGCGGACTGGTTCAGGACAGCTGCTGTGGGTCATGGCATCTTGGAAAACTGAGTATGTAGAAATAAAGGGATTGAGAAGAGGATGGAAGAAGGGTGGTCCTGCGACTTTTCCTTGTGCTTTCCTGTGAAGGAAGTGCTGAGGCAGTCATTTGCATTTTTATCTCTGGTCACGGGACACAGGAGAATCTGAGAATCTGCTGCCATTCCCTCCATCTATAACTTCTGAATCGCCTCCATCTGCTACTATTGCGTTGTGCTCCTCAGTCTTCCAGTTGTATTTGAACATCAAATACTTAAAAAAAAATTCCCTCTCCTTCTTTGGGCCTTCATTTCTGAAGATCTCCTTGTCATAAAATAATAAAAAAAGTGTATGTTTTTGCTATGATAATCTGTCTTTTATGATGAAGACTCAACGTATTTCATTGTCTTTATATTATAATATATTACAGCAAATGCAACTTGAAATTCATATTCGTGGTTAAACTCATATGGTTAAATGGAAAACAAAGAAAGAAACCAATACACACTAGTTTCTCATAGGGCTCCACTCTGACAAGACTAAACCTCCACAGGAGTCACAATACTCTATCAATTAGTGGACTGTTTCCTGATTCATGGCATGGTCTGTGATCCCTGCCTCCTTATCAATGTAGCTCCTGGATATGTATTTGCCAAAGAGATGCAACACTAGAAAGAAACAAGGCTTATTCCATTATTTGTATTGCAACCACAGATGCATTTTCATTATTGTTGGAAAATTGCATTTCTCAAGTGCATGGTCTACATTTGGGGATTAGGGGAGAAGGTTTCATTGTTGTCCAGTGGTGTAGAGTGTATATAAAAATAAATGTTCAGTACAGGAATTTGGTGCTGTGAAAAAACCTGCTTGTCAGGCTGCTATAAAAGCATCTATTGGCTTCTTATAAATAGCAATTCCATTTCAACAGTAATGATCTAATTTATATCCCTCGTACTTCCTGAAAGTGAGGCTACCCAGGGAACACTTCTGATGAAAACATTACCAATAAATTTGCAAAGCCAAGTTATTAAAAATGAGGATTCTTAGAATATGAAGTGGGTACACAGCTGAAGGAATGCAGTGAAAGACAAACAATAAGTATTTATCACTTGAAGAAAAAAAAAAGTCTTCACAGAATTTGAAGATTCACCCAAATAAAAAGTATTTAGCAATGATCAGACCTGTACTTTGATAATAAAGGCTAAAAGTGATTTGCAGAGAGGAAAGAGAATTTCTGGAAAAGACAGAGAAACGTGAACTGTGTGGGTGGTATGTGGATGGAGGGGCTGTACAGTAGATATTCAAACAGAGAAGCCAGGGAGGACAAGATTAAACAAGGCAGTGTGAATACTCATTCACCACTGCAATGCCAGGACCATGCCTTCAGTGGTGGTGCTTGCTGGGAAAGTACTTACATTAGGTCTCAGTCTTGCTGCCAGATCATAATACTTCTCAGCTGCTTCATTGAGGCTAGCTTGTCTGTCAAAGAAAAACACAATAAAATTACACGAAGTATTTTAGAGTTAAAGCATTATTGAGAGGAATGACACATAATTTAAAAAAAATCAAACACATTGCCTAAATAGTAAGTTCCCATAAAGAAAACTTGAAATGAACTTCCTCTTCTTTTTAAAGCATCATAAATGGTATCTGAGGACATTCTCATTTGGTGGGTATTGCTACCTTACATTTACATATTTGCCATAGGAAAAGGTATTTCCACTTTCAAGGTAACTCAAGTAATATATTTAGATTCTGAAGTTTCAAAATGATAACCTAGAAAAAAAGTTTAAAAATCAAATGTCAAAATATTTAGCTATGGTTTTAAAATACATTTGTATGCATGTATGTGTACCTGCATGTGTTTAAGTGCATCACGAGCATGCAGGTTCTCACGGAGGCCAGAAGAGGGTGCTAGATCCATTTGGAACTGGTGTTGAGGCAGTTATGAGCTGTGGGGCATTGGTGTTAGGACCTGAACTTTTGGGTCCTTTGCAAAAGCAATAAACATTCAAAACCACCACCTCTTCATCCCCTAGTTGTGCATTTTAAAGTAAACATTTGCAAGAAAAAAAATTGTATATTTATTTTACCCACACTCTCTTTCACACACACATATAAACAAAATATGATGATATATGTATGAAAATATAATGAAACCAATTGTCTTTTTAGGTCTTCCTTTATTCTTTTTAATATTATTATTATTATTATTATCAGTTATTATAATTTATTCAATTTGTATCCTGGCTGTGGCTCCCTTACTCGTCTCCTCCCAATCCCACCTACCCTCCCTCTTCTTTCCCCTATGCTTTACCTCTATTCCACTGATAGGGGAGGTCCTCCTCCCCTTCTGTCTGACCCTAGCCTATCAGGTCTCATCAGGACTGGCTGCATTGTCTTCCTCTCTGGCCTGGCAAGGCTGCTCCCCTCGGTGGGGGGGGGGTGATCAGAGAGCCTGCCACCAACCAAGGACAATGCCTGGAGAGGACTTAAAACCCTGACTCCGATGTAACCCATAGACTCAGTCTTCAAGTGTGGTCCTTAGTAATGGGAGAAGGGGCTTTCTCTGGCATGAACTCAGAAACCAACTGTTTTATGACAACAAAAAATAAAATTTTAGATACAAGTAATTGGGTAGGACAGGAGCCTAGCACAGAGGGCCTCTGAAAGACTCTACCCAGCAGTATATCAAAGCAGATGCTGAAACTCATAACCAAACTTTGGGCAGAGTGCAGAGAATCTTATGAAATATAGGGGAGATAGTAAGACCTGGTGAGGACAGGAGCACCACAAGGAGAGCAACAGAACCAATAAATCTGGGCACAGCGCTCTTTTCTGAGACTTATACTCCAACCAAGGACATTCGTGGATATAACCTAGAACTCTTGCTCAGATGTAACCCTTGGCAGCTCAGTATCCAAGTGGGTTCCCTAGTAAGAGGAAGAGGGAGGGCCTGTGACATGAACTCAGTGGCTGGCTCTTTGATCACCTCCCCCTGAGGGGGAGCAACCTTACCAGGACACAGAGGAAGAGAATGCAGCCAGTCCTGATGAGACCTGATGGGCTAGGGTCAGATGGAAAAAGAGGAAAACTTCCTTTATCAGTGGACTTGGAAAGGGGCATGGGAGGAGATGAGGGAGGGATGGTGGGATTGGGAGGGAATGGGGGAGAGCTAGGATACAAAGTGAATAAACGGTAATTAATATGAAAAATAAAAATTTAATAAAAATAATTGGTTTTGGAGATGGTTCAATGGGTAAAGTCCTCGCTGCAAGAACAGGAGGACTCAAATTCATATACCTAGCACCCACACATGGCAGTACATGTTTGCATTCCCAGAATTGGGATGAAGGTACAGGTGCATCCTGGGAGTTTGCTGGCCAGCCAGTCTAGCTAAGAGGCGAACTCTTGGTTTGGTAAGAGACCCTGTTGAAAACACTAAGGTGTAAAATAATAGAGAAAGACAAACAATGTCTTCCTCAGGCTTCTGCGTGTGTGTCCACGGATACATGCACACACACACAAACACACATGTATGCATGTTCACATACACACACATGCACCACACATATATCTCAGAATATTTCTCTTCTTACTAGATAGTAACTGATGTGGGCAAGTGACCTCATCTCAGGTAACTGGATGTTCCCACTTGCCCTTTTTAATTCAGGAAAAAAAAAAGATGGAAAAGAAAAGAAAAGAAAAGAAAAGAAAGAAAAGAAAAGAAAAGAAAAGGAAGATGATGGCATAGTCAGAATTCACTCACAATGGTGTAAGAAAAGAGGTTATGTGGAGCCTAGACTCTTCCTGCAGACAATGACCATAGCACAATAGTTCATATAGTTTGTAGCCACTGGGTTTAGAGTGTGTTGTGATAATTCAAAGCCTCCAGTCTATAAATGCATTGTTTGTGGGGTGGTGGCACTTGGTATTAAACCAGTGCCCTTTCCATGCTAAGTGGAAACTCCATCCCATCCCAGCAGTGGATTCTTTAGTCTCACTATAACCACAGTCAGTTTTCTTGCTTGTAGTCAAACCCAGGAATGGCACAGCTTTCGTACAAAAACAGAATTCACACTGAATCTAACAGATAACTTGTTTGCTGCCTATCACCAAAGACTACGATCAGTCAACTTGTCAGTAGATGACACAAAATGTCAGCTAGTTGCCAAAATATAGTGTTTTTTTTTTTGACTATGCAGCTTCAGAAGACCTTCTCTGATGGCAGATAACAAGATATATTTTTAAAAATCTTAGAAGTGAACTGCTGTCTAGTAAATAAATATACATGAGGATTACAGAATAAAAGCTATGAGAAAATGCCAAGATTAGTTTCAGATGACATACACTGCATTAACTATGATATGACAACAACATGAAATGGCTATGGGATTAGCTTTAAAGGGGAGTAGTGTTCTTAGGGGAAAGGCTCAGGAGGTAAAGGGTTATTACAGAAGCATGAGGGCATAATTCTGGATTCCCAGAACCCACATGAATGCCAGGTGGGCATGGCAGCCTGCTTACAACCTCAACCAGTAAAAGAAAAAGATGGGGACGATCCCCAGAAAAACAAAAACAAAACAAACAAACAAACAAACAAACAAACAAACAAAAAAACCTGTCTAACTACACTGGTCAAATTAGTGAGCTCTGGGTTCTTCAAATGAGATAGCTTGTCTTAATATAGGAAAATCAATTGAGAAAAACACCCAACTTTAGCCTCTGGCCTTTCATACATATATACAAACATATGCACCTGCAAATACACATATGCTACCACACATGCAACATGCACGGATATGTGTATGCGCACACACACACACACACACACACACACACACACACACACACACACCACAAGGCCAAAAAAGCTGTAAAGTTAATAAACTTTGGCAACAACAAGAAGACAGAGAGAGTAGAAACAAACAGAATACATGAGTCAAGTCTCTCAATTAGTGAACCACAGTCAGGTTTTAAAAGAGAAGGCCAGTCAGCCTTATTTAGTATATTGAATTTTCACTTTAGTCAAGACAAATAAACAGCAAAAAGACATACCCCATGCAGACATATAAATTATAGGAATAACTAAAGATAACATTGCTCTGGAGAATCAGGCATATCTTACTAATGTTTAAAGGAATAATAATCAGAAACACTTCCACTAAAAAACAATTTTTAGTGGAAGTTATAAAGAAAGTAAAGAAGAAAGAAAAACCCAAACTATAATACCAAACCTGAGCCAAGGCTCTGCTAGACTTGTGGCTTGTTACAATGTGTCACTGCAGTTTATATTCTCATAAATATCAAAGTTCAACCTCAATATGTCAAGAAAAGTACTCAAGTCTGGTATGAAACAGTAAAGCGTCTCTCACAAGGGTATTTAATGAAGGTGCCCTCCACCAAATTACAGATTCGCTTTGGTTCAGATTCACTTGGAAACTTGAACCAGAATTCTTTAGGTCATGCCCTGGGAGGGTTTCCTCCAGAGGAACTTAAAAGCCACGAAGGTAGGAAATTAGAGTAACTTGATACTACAAGGAAGTAAGTGCCTTGAAGTTAGATCAAACAGTAGATATCGAGTATTGAAAGTATGGCCACTACTAACAGTTTCTTGCAACCTCCAATTCATAAGGCTACTATATACTGATCAAAAGAGAAACTGAGGTCTCCAGTAGACAAAATGTTTCTATGGTATCAAGCAACTGAATTTTAAAACGATTATGAGTTAAGTCAATACATTCTTCAATGGTAACTGTGGATAAATGTGAAATGTTTTCCCATAGGCTCCTGTGTGAATACTTGGTTCTTCCAGTGGGACAGAGGTTGAAGGACCTTTGGGAGAAACAGATGCTTTGCTGGAGGTCATAAGTCCTGGGAATGGCCTTGAATTTCCTTATTACTGAAGACCTTCCTGTCAGGTCTCTGCTTCCATACCACAAAGGCACTGTGACTATTACCACAAACTCCTGCCAGCCTATGCCTCTCCCATCATGATGGATGGTAACCCCTCAAACTGCAAGCCAAAGTAAACCTTGCTTCCTTTGCATTGCATTTTGTCAGGCATTTTTATCAAAGCCATAAAAAGTAACTAATACAGCAGTTTAATGCTCAAAGGAAATATTCAGAAGAGTTAATTCAAGCTAGAATTACAACTGATAATTCTGAAGGAAAGGAAAAAACAGGATTTATTATATATGCCGCATATGTACAAAATTAATCTCCACTATAGAACTTTGTTTCTATTATTTAAAAGTCTCAGGAAGTCTTTTTTTTTATTACTAATCAGAAGGTATTTATGACAGCACATAGAAAACCAGGTAAAGGAATGTGTCATTTCTAGGCACAGAATGGTCATTTATAAACCTGATTTATTCTCTGGACAAGAGAGAAAACTCATGAGGAAGTGTTCAGAGTCCATTTTATTGTGTAGGTTATATTTTATATTCCCCTTTTGAAAGAGAGGTTCTTGGAATACT